GTTGCTTGGTTGGTTGGCTGGCTTTCTGGTTGTGTGTGTGTTCGTGTGCGTGTGCGTGTGCGCGTGCGCGTGCGCGTGCGCGTGCGCGTGCGCGTGCGCGTGCGCGTGCGCGTGCGCGTGCGTGTGCGTGTGCGTGTGCGTGTGCTTGTGCGGGTGCGGGTGCGGGTGCGGGTGGGTGTGTGTGTGTGTGTGTGTGTGTTTGTTTGTTTGTTTGTTTGTTTGTTTGTGTGTTTGTTTGTGTTTGTGTTTGTTTGTTTTCGTGTGCGTGCTGTCCTCGTCCATAGAGAAAGGGGGTCACTCCCAGGTAGAATCGCATCACAACAACCAAACCTTCTGACCTGGCAACGAAGCTACCAGTGACATCAAAAGGGAAGACCCATCATCCTCCTGTACCTGCAGAAACGCTGGGCCCCTGATCCAACGAGATTTGCAGAAAACAGGCCCCTGAGCTCACAAGAATGGCCAGAACAGTGTTCAGTTTTCTTGCACACATGCTCCGTTGCAGCTATCTGTTTTAACATCAGCGAACGTTTGCGCAGCAGGCAGGGACATGGCTTGCAGCAGTTGTTGTAACAACAGTTGGTCGATCAACTAGTGGGTGGGCGGGCGGCTGGGGGGCGGGCGGGCGGGGGTGGGAGAAGAGGGAGGGGGGCAGCTGCATGCGATTGTCACGCAACCCTACTAGACTTTGCAAATTCCGTCCTCACAGACGGGAAGAGCATTTCGATCGTTGGTCCTCAATATCTCCTGCATCACTTCTGCTTCACTGCATTCCGAAATCTGGCTCATTGATGTCCTTGAGGCGGCAATCATCCAGGACCAGCTGCGTGAACAAGACGCCAAAGGAATAGAAAAGCAGAAGCAACAAGACCTGAGTGTCGCAGCATATGCAATTTTCAAGGCCTCGGCTGTCGAGCCTGTTCCTCTCCGTCGACATCTAAAAAAGGCTCTCACTTCGAAGCCCAGGTGCCAATGTCCAGAACAGGCTGTACATGCTGCTCATAATCGAGAGTATCAGTGCTCGCAGAGAACTGACATACCTGCCAGGCTTCCGACTTTTGCATGACTGACCGCCGGCAGATTGCACCTAAATGCACGCAAGATCTCTCTCTCTCTCTCTCTCTCTTTCTCGACAGAGCATGGTCCAGCTGATACCATCGTGCGTGTGCGCACGCCCGCTTTTCGTTGGCGGGATCTATCCCCGTCGCGCCGTTGAAGGATTCCTGGGGCCTCTGCCCGTGCTCCATGTCAAACTCCCACGCCTTGTGGGTAAGCTCTTGAGGGATGTGCACCGGCTCCGGGTTCTCGTCGTGAAGCGCATTCGATTGGTCGATCTTCCGCCGTCTCCACCAGGTCGTCATGGAAGGCGCAGTGCCCCCAGCTGGCATTGCATCCGTCTCTTGGGCTTGCTGCTGTTGATCCCCCTCGTCTCCGGGCTGCTCATCTGTTTGCGTGCTGTCATGAACAGCTATCTGGTCTCCGAAGTGACACTGATGCCACGCTTCGATTGCATGAAGTAGTTGTAGCGCCAGTGTCCGTGTGGCTCGGCATGATGTCACGAAAGTCGGCGGCGGCGTCTAGTAGAAGCAGCGCCGCGCTGCTCTCACAGCAAGTACGTGCTACAGCTTCCATCCCACCACATTGCATGACATCTGCTGGATGCGCAAGTTCCGGGTCGGATTCCGATAGGAATGCCCCGCCTGTCCGCCAGCATAAGATCTCTCTCCCTCTCTCTCTCTCTCTCTACCAGGTGGGAGGGCCAGGGAGCGCCCAGGCCTGAACCTCGTGTGCGAGTGCGTGCCGCTTTTGGTGGGTGTCTGTGCTCCCCCCCGGGCTTTTTCCCTGGGCTCAGCTGTACTGTAGAAAGGTGATGGCCAATTCCCCGAGTTTTAGCGTAAGATCTCTCTCTGCTTTGCTTCGCTCAGGGGCTTGGAGGACGGGCAGTCCCCACTCCCTCGGTCCCATCCACCATTTTGGCGGGATGGGCTTGTCTGTGCACGGGATTGCACGGGCGTGTCACTGTTTTGGCCCCCCAAGGGGCACGAAAGAGCAATCGCAGAAGACACTGTAACCGAAGCACAAGCTCGTGGCACCAACTCGACCCTTTGGGCGTGCCCCCCTCTCACTGCGAAACCCTGACAAACCAACCGACCTGCCTGACCCACCCTGCATCCCGAACAGGAAGCCTGATCCACAGCGCACGCACTGCCTCGAACTTCCACTCAGCCCTAAAGCCTCTAGAGGGAACAAGGGGTGGTGCCCCATGACTGATCCCTGCAGATGAACACAAGGCTGAACCCCGCTCACACAGACCTTGACCTTCCACTGAACCCTTAAGCCACGTGTCTTCAGCTGCGACTTGTGCCCGCATGCAATATCAGTGACACTAAAGAACCGACATGTTCCGGAAGTTCCCACATGTCATGTGACATGAAAGCAACAACAGGCTAGTGCACACAGCTAAGCGGGTTAGTTAGTCGTCGCTGAGAGCAGCCTGCATGCGACGACGCCTGTGCGATCGCATGCTCGATCTCTAAATGGATCTCTGTCTCTCTTCACTTCAGCTCACCTCACTTCACTGAACTTCACTTCGGGCATGGGAGTCTTCTCAGGACTCCCGGGCCGAAAGGCCCACCCCTGTAACAGGGCCTTGAGGGGAGATCCGGCGAGAAGAACACTTTCCCTGGTCTTCAACAAACAATCTCTATCTTCTTTCTTTCTTTCTCCGGGGGCGTAGGGGTCGCATTGGCCCTTGGGGGGTGAGGGCCTCACAAATGATTCTATACTCCGTGACAACTCTGAAGCCCCGTCTGCAACACAAGACGGATATGCTAAGGCAAAACCGTGATTCTCCGCCGAATTCCCCTGGTTCTCAGCAATCCCACCTGAGCAGCCGCATCACACGGATGCCGCGAAGTGCCCGGGCTAAGCGCACGGTCCGAACGAAGCGCAGGTGGCTCGGGTTGACCTCTCCACACAGCAGAATGCTCGATGGTTCCCCAGTCATCCTGAATCCCCCGCCTGGGCACTGGACGAGGACAACGCGACATATTCGAGGACCGTTTCCAACACTGACCTGCAGTAGCAGGGCTGACCAAAGCTGGTTCCCCGGATGCTGCCTTTTCATGATGTTAAGTTCGCAGGTGTGTTTTCTTCTCCCCTGTGTCGACTGACAGCCAATGACAGCTACTTTTGATCTTCGTTGTTGTTCTGCAGGCTCTTGGGAAAAGATTGGCTGCGGCAAAAAGACAACGCCTGTTCTTGCTGATGCCCTGAAGTCGGCTGCATCCTGCTTCGGCGGGTCACAAAATCAAAGCAACACAACACCTGGGCGTCCGGATTCGCGCCAAGCTGTTGCGGAATGCCAATTTCCAGGGTCACACAGATGCTCCTCACATGGTAGCAACAGCTGAAGGAGAACTGCGATGTTCTCAAGCGGGATGTTTCGACCCTAAATCCTAAACCTTGCGGTTGCAGCAAGCTAAGTCGGAATTGATCGCTTTGGCACATGAGGTGCTCTTTTGAGTTAAGCTGCACCGGTAAGGAGAACAACAACATGGTGCTTCGGTGGTCGCGGAGAAAACCATTGCAGCTGTCGGGAGGGCGAAAAAGACTTCTTGCCAAAATTTGAAAGGATAACTTTCCCTATAAAGATGGTTTGGCGAAGATCTATTCTGCGTGCTACTGTGGAATTCTATTTACGGAGACTGTTTGTGGCAAGCTCCTGGTTCCAACTTGCAGGGGAAGCTTTTGTGTCAAGCTATTGATCGTTTCGCATGACAAACCAGCACGCCTTTGTGCTCACTGCCTGCTCCACGCGTGAAGAGTCCCCGGAGAGGCAGTCTCAAGAATGGCTTTGCTTGGGGGGATGGCAACCCCACCTCACGTAAACAGTCGCAAACATGGCTTGGCTCGGTCTGGCCTGACGTGTGCTACGAAGGACTGCCATTACTACTATTTGTGCTACTGACTGCAATGAGTGCTCTTGCAAATACCAGTCACTGGTAGCACTAGTTCAAGGACAGATGCAGATGCGAAACACTACGGGTCCAGTTGCGACTAGCATCGGACGTAGTATTCAACTCCAGCTGCAAGTACTGCGATGATGACGATTAGGACCAATACGACCACTGTGCTTGTCCATTATGACTATGAAGCTTATGACCGCTATGCGTGCTGCTGTCGCGAAGAGACTCTTTATACTTCAACTCACACTTAACGGACATATCTTTTGTGACATCTGCTGACAATCCTACTGTGACTGCAACTCTTACTGTAGTACTCCAACCACACTACATGCACAATGCATTTCGGCGTCCGCCGAGCAGACAAGCGAAGGCGTCGGCGGTCGCGGAGGGTGGAGGGCTTGCTGGATCTTGGGCCCCGCAAAAGCGAGGTGCTTCGGTTTAGCGCGGGGAAGGCTCCTGCAACTGCTCGCTCACTCAGCGCGCATGTGTCCAAGGCTTTCTGTTTCACGGCCCATGGGCCCTTGAAGCAAACAGGAAGCGGTCGCTTCGTAAGATCAACATCGTCGGCTCGTGCACCCGCTCGATTCTGCAAAGGGCTGCTGAACAAGCCGGAAAAGAAAAACACTTCCAAGGCATGTGTTCAATACTGCAATTACTGCAACCCTAGAAGGAGGGTGCACTCATCCTGGATGCGGTTTCACGTCTTAGGTCTCTATGCTTCGTTTGCATATGGCTTTGAGCCAGCCAAGATAGCCGAGCCACACCAATATAATGAAGAAATCCTTGGCGAGTCGCATCTCGTGTGTCTGGCCGTATCTAGCCGGCATGCAACTTTGCAAAATCTCGACTTAAGACGAAATCTTGAAATATCTTGCCACTATCGACCTGCGAGCAAGGCATCAAACAACTGCAAGCCAAGGCTCAAATAAGTTCCACCACCGCTCCGGTCCGCAAAAAAAACTCGCGAAGCCGAAAGCCAACAGCTTGACACCCAGCTCCTTAACTTTAGCGAGCTCTGTGTGTTTAAACACAATTGCCTCATCTTCAGATACTGGAGGATGTGAGACTCAGGCCCAGGAGGTCGTACAGAGTTCAGGCACTTACAAGACAAGCACCGGACATCTCTTTTTGAGTCTGACACGCATCGCACCTAGTTGACTGTGTTTCCAATGCAATGAGCCTTGCATGTCCTTTTGCAGCACGTTTTGCAGCGAAGCTTCTGCAATGAAAAAGACAACGACTACAATGTTGATAATGGGAAAGATAACAGGTACCTCGTCTTGGCCAAGGAATTTAGACTGGTCCACCTTAGCTCCCCAGCTCTGACACGAGGTCTTGCAGAGCAGCCGGATACCAGGAGGACATGTCATGTTCTCGAACATCGGTAGGAGCTATCCTCAGTGCCTCCGGTAAGGCATCCAAGACACTTCGACACCCAGAATGATCAGATTGATCACGATCACCGCTGTAACCAGGTTGGTAAAGAGAGCAGACTCCACAAATTGCACGGCCATCATGGAGAAAGATGAAGTTTCTTTCTCCTCATCACATTCAAAGCACGCATGACACTGTGTCTGCAAGTATATGTGTGCCCTAGCTTGCTTCATGGACTTTTCAAGAAAACATGCTTGACTCACTACTCCGAAACATCATAAGCCTACGAAGGGCTGCTGTGAGGCCTTGCGGAGAGACTCCCGGCGAATCGTGACTTTCTCCGCCACGTTGTAGGCCCGCTCTTGGAAGATTCATGCAGCATGTTGCATGGTTGAAGGCCGACTGGGAATGCTTGAAAGGTCGGGGCCCCAGTGGCTGCGTTAAAGAGTACAGAACATCTCGATTTTTTGGGCCTCTTCTTCAGGGCTACGATTCCGAGGCTATTCGACGGTGACATGCAGCCGTGGAAAGCTTCCGCTTGCCGACAAATTGCTTTCAGACTCTTTGAGGGTGCTGCTGACAAAGGTAGCCTGAGCCGGGACAACAGCTCTGCACGTGGCTTCGCACGTCGTGCAAATGCCTGCAAGTGGCGAATCATCTGCAACACTCTGCACACTCCACCACTCCAAAGCACTGCATAAGAAATACATGACTTGATTATCCTGTCCCAGAGACCCAGGTGGTGTGCACACACCATTGGGTGCGGAATTCTGGTAGTAGAGTTCAACGAACTTGAACTGTAATGACACCCAAGTCAAAGCCACACCAGCCAGGCAACAATGCTGTCCAGACTGTCGGTGCTCCGTTTGTTGTGTCTCGTCCGATCTGGAAAACCTTTCGCTTCCAAGTTGTCCTTAGGTTAAATTCGCTCAAGTGTTGTCACACTTCAACTCAACCCATGAAACTCACGGGCTGTATGAGTCAGATGGGCTGTCGCCTGAAAGACCGGGCCGTTTAGATAATGCTGTGAGCAAGAGGCTGCATTGACTGCAGGACCAAATGAGACGGTGTCACTGCAATCCAAAAACAAACCAGAACAGGCGTCGGGCAAGAAGGATCCTAAAGACGTCGCCGATGCTTCTGGTTGAACAAGATCAACGACATCCTTGGCACTGCATGTTCAACACGGAACGCCAGAATGGTGCGCTAGCAGAGATGTCACGTTCTTCGTTCTGACGCTGAGGCATGCTTCACAGAGCACAACCTCCATCTACCGATCGTTGCTGCAAAGAGCGAGTGGAATGCATGGCAGTAGGAAGTGGAACAAGCCAGTTGTGAGTTGTAGTTTATGGGTCACGCAGGACTCAGGATCGCTGGATCTTCTTTCGGTGCCGCGAGGAAGTAGTCTCGCAATGCTATGGGCAGCACTGCTGGCTTCTGACACGGATCATGCCTGTGATAGGCACCCCGAAGACAGGTTCGCTCTGCTGAGCATAGATTTCTTTCAAAAAGACATGAAGAAACGGAGTAACACAATCTGATGGCTGGATCACTCACACATAAAGACATGAAAGCACAGCGCTCTCTCCAAGAATCGTTGCCGCGGTCATGGGAGACGACACTGCTCCTGACATGTGCAATCTCCACCGGTAGGCCCAGATTTGGACGAAGCATTGCCATTGTATGCAACAATGCCGATGCGAGGATTGGGCACACAACATAGCTTGCTGCAGCCAAGCAGCAAATCATCTTCCGGTATGGTGTCGAAAACACCGGGTTTGCTTCGACCGACCTTGGATTGCACCCAGCAGGCTTTGGATTCAGTGCCTGCAGAACCTGTGCCAATCGCGCTGAACACGCAAAGCACCATCGCAACTCAGCCCACCAGCGTCCATAAATAAAAGCAGGCCCCCCAGCAGACATCAATGGCCCCCCGTTGACTAACTACCAACAGTAAATGGTAGAGAGAAACCAGAACTTGTTGTGGCATTGCCTCGTGTTGTCTGGCGGCATCCAGTTCTCGCCAAGCAACCCGATGCAGCTGAAGGCTAACTTCCTGAAGATACGTGGTCTGCCTCGCGAACCGGTAGTCCAAGAACCTCCTCAACTTCCTTGACGTTGCACATTCCCTCTTACAACTTTGTGCGAAACAACTCTGCTTCTCGACGTGCAATGCCTTGGTTTTTTCAGTCTTGAGCATGCAAAACGTGCTTGCAAGGTGCTCGAACTCCTGCATCACATCCTGTTGCCTGGGCACCACAGAATGCCCAGGTCACGGACCGAGGCTAGAGCATCAAGTCAAACAGAACGTGTGCTGGTCAGGCGAGGGTGCACAGGGTCCGGAGCTGTTGGATCAGATTGAAGCAAATCTGAATGCATGGCTGCTCTCAGCACAGGGCTTCAAGCACTGCAATAGCCACACGGCTCGTTCCAATCAATGCGAGTGATCGCTGAGAAAGCTGCGGCTGGCACAAGTTGAAGGCGTCATTTAAAAGCAATCTTGCGCAGCGGGCTCCAACACACCACAAAGCCTTAACTCCAGTGCCCCCTTGAAAACAACTGTTCTGAAGATGCTTCGCTTGGACACACACAAACCCCGCCCTGTGTTACAAACACCGAACTACGCCAAAATTCCCCAAGGCTGAAAGCCTGAAGCATGGCAGTGTAGCCTTTATGCCTGCGTCCGGCATGCAATTTGAAATAGGCTCATTTGGCTTATCCGGCCATGCCATGAAGATCGTTCAATGTCGGTACAGTCAATCTGTATCGGCGCAAGCTGGCACGGCTTTTCTGCTTTGTGAAAGCTGCTCCGGGCAGATGTGCAGTGCTAATCAGAGTGACTAGGCCGTGGCATTGACCACGACCTGGCCCATGAAGGAGGAACCAGTCGTGGACATCGGCTCCTCGCAGCAGATACTACAAGCTCATGTACTCCAAATCCTGAAAGCTGGCATTCCCGCTTACAGTAAACTCTGCAGTGCAACTTTCACCTCAACGCCTTCACCTCGAAGTCTTTAAGGTGCCTGAAAACTTGCAGGTTTCAGGCGCTTCATGACAGAGAGCGGTGCAACGGACATCCCGCCGGTGTCAACTGTTGCCTTTTCTGTGGCTTGTGATGTCGGTTGCGCTTGCAACATTCGATGTGACTTGTCCTAACACGAGCAGCCCTCTGTCTCGCCGTCCTGTGTCATGTTGCTGCCATCCACTGTCATGAGACACCAGCTTGGAGTGCAGCCACCTGTTTGAGAGCATTTCGGGGCGAGGTGGCCCCGGTGCCCATAAAGGCACTAGAATTCAGGCTGATCACTGAACCATGTCGGCCCAGTTGCCGAACACGCAGGTTCCAGTGATGAACGGTTGCATCACAAGGTATCGGGCACCAGATCTGGCTCCACAATCCTAAGGCAGTGGAGCAGCGCAACGGCTCAAAATCTGAGTGACAAGTGGCTGGTACGAGAAATAGTTTAGGAATTCTCTTTGTTGGGTTTTCGGAATATTTTGCTTTCTGTTTCCAAAGCAGCTGCAACTATGGCCAGGTGGACATTCTCCTTTAAAACCATGCAGCTCCCCGCATCCTGCTATTTACAGCACATGGTGCAACATCTTTTCTTCAGACAGGATGCTCGCTGCGCAAGTCTCCCGCTGTGGTGTGGTGCATACTTTTCGTAATTGACGGAGGATTCTACGTGCCCTTGCTTATGTAAATTTGTGGAAAACTCCGAATCGCAGCAGCACTTGGGTGTAATCCATCGGTTTTAAGCACCAAAGGTAGGTAAAACGTCTAACACGGCAAAACGCCCGTCCAAGGCGCACACAGGGTCCTGTTTGGTACGCGAAAACCACCAAGCCCGAGGCGTTAGCGTATGCATATACCAACGTGTTCGCTTCACGGCACGAAGCCGGAGTGTCTAGATAGGGTTTAATACACAAACACTAATTCGCATTGTAGCGCCGATATCTTGAACTTAACCCGTCCTTTGGCGATCCCGATTCATCACATGTCTTAACACGCCCCCTCATTTGCTGATCCAAGTTGATCACGTATCCTAAACATGCCACAGGAGCGATCCCAATTCATCACATATTTTGAAAACGTCTCCTCATTTGGCGATCCCGGTTGATCACATATTTTAAGCTCGCCACCTCCTTGGCGATGCCGATTCACCACATATCTTATGCACGCCCCCTCAGTAGGCGATCCCGGTTGGTCACATCTCTTAAACCCGGCCCTCGCTTGGTGCCCCGGTCCCTCACGTATCCTATATAAGCACGCCCCATCATTCGGCGATTCAGGTCGATGTCATTCTGCACACCCGCCCGCTCATTAAGCGCTCATCACATGTTCTACATATAAACATTCATGACAAAACTTCAACACGTTAACACGCCCACTCATTTGGAAACCCGGATGGGCACAGATCTTAAGCGTGCAATCTCATGTGGCGATTCAGGCTGATCCAATACCTTGAACTCGCCCCCTCCTTTGCCGAGCTCGATTCATCGCACATCTTACACACGCCCTCTCATTAGGGGATACCGGTTGATCACATTCCCCGCCTTTGGTGAGCCCGACCGAATCACAACATATCCTGAACACGTCCCCTCCTTTGGCGATGCCCATTCGGCATACATCTTAAACACGACCCCTCATGTATCCACGTTGATCACGAACCAGAACACGCCACAAAACGCCAAGACGCCAGTTCCTTTGGCGATCCAGGTTGATTACATATCTTAACATGACCCCGGTTGATCACAACTGTCACAACTCTGAAACCCGCCCCCACGTCTGGCGATTCAGGTTGATCACAAATCTTAGCCATCACATATCTTAAAACCCCTCCTCATAAGGCGATCCCAGTTGATCACAGTTCTTGAACCCGCCCCCTCATTTGGCGATCCAAGAAGCGGAAAAGCAAAGAAGCAAAAAAGAAGGAAAGCCAAAAAGCAAAAGCAAGAACATGTAGAAAAGGACAAGCAAACACAGGCAAAAGGAAGAAAAACACTGCAAAAGCAGACAGGGCTGTCAAACAACAAAAACAAAGCAGATAATCAGAAAAAGCGAAAAAGCAAAAGCACAAGCAAAACAAAAGACATCAAGCAAGAAAAGCAGAAGGCAAAACAGGCCAACAAAATCAAAACATGGAAAACAAAAAACAAATCCGAAAACAAAACTAAGAAAATCCTAAAACAACATAGGGCTCCCTAGTGATTAAGTAAAGCCTTGCATGTCACAGTATCAATGTCCGAATGATTTCTCCAAGCTGCCACCGTCTTGGACTCCTCGGTGATCGTACCACAGAGCCTCCGTCTGACAGGCATAGATACAGCATGCGGCTGCGACACGGCTTACTATCTTCCTAAGCGCTGCGCGTTGTTAGCCAGGCCCTTCTTGCAACAACAAGCATTGCTAGGACTCCCTTGCAGCCAGGGCACTCTGCAGTCGGTAGGGCCCCAGTGCCATGTGCCGAATTGGTGAGATACACCTGATGCGATCCCTCCACAAAGCTACCGTGTCTAAGATGCTTGGCAAATTGGGGAGGGTGTCGCGTGCTGTCTGTGGCTGCATGTCGCAGCTCGTGTAGGCAGCTAGGCAGAACCAGAAACATGAAAGCAATCGGCAAGTACGGCCTTGATGCTAGAGACATCATCAGAAGGATCGGCGAACACCGGACCAACCTTGGTGCTGTGATGCTGTGTTTGGGCTGGCTGGCCCACTGAGGAACTTTCAGACGTGTACAGATCACGGCGTATATATCCCTGTGAAAGTGGCTCACAAACACCACTGAAAAGCCCAGGGCAAGCAGCGCCCTTTTCCTATCTCCGGAAACACGTTGGCTCTGTAAGCTCGAGCCCCCCCTGCCGACACAGACACGTTTAAAGCTCAACACTCGGATTTCCCGGTACTTGTACCAGTCATATTCCTGAGCTTTTCAGACGTGATGTCTTCAGGGTTCATAAGCTCATCTACGTCGTTCCATGGGAAATTGCCTGCTTCGGCAATGCCCTTTTGAAGTCTCGGATGCGCTTCTCCTGCTCGCAGTTCGTGAGCTTCCTACCGGCAGTAAACTCAGGATCCAAGACCAGTCGCCATCGCTGCTGATCTCCAAGAAGACGCAGGAGAATGCAGCGAGCCTTGCTTTTCGGCAAGCCATCAGCCAGCTGTTCAGTGCCAGCCACCACCGTAAGTGGATCCCCGCTGACACAGCCTGCTTAACTGATATAACCAGCGCGTACTCCGAAGACCATGTAGCGACGAGCAGTTTCTCGCACCGCACCAATATTCCTTTGGAGTCCATCACCACCGCGCCGGTGGTGTTTTCACGAACCATGCGAGCTTGTTCACCGCGAACTGGAGGATGGCCATGAGCTTCTAGCCAAGCACAACGAACCAGGTAGTTCAGGTCTACACCGATCGTGATCGCCTGCACTTCGGATCCATTTGATCCAAGAACTTCTCGTGGTGCTTTGGAAGACCTCCATGATACGATGTTCATAAACACAGCCTCCCCATTGAGGATGTCCTTGGGCGCCAAGCAGGTCAGGATGCCGACAGTGCTACCCTTGTTGGCCTTGATCTGTTGAGCTCTGGCACTGTCAACGCGAATCTCATCGACCCACTTCTCGGTGTAGGACTTCCGATCCAGGAAGATCGTTCCATCCTCCTTCTGAGTCAGGTTGGCCCCGGCAAACTCAAAGTTTCGCTGTTCCCACTTGCCCCACTCAAACGCCGCCAACAGCTCGGCTTTTGCACCGACCTTGTCGCCTTTTCGACCACCAAGCAGAAAGTCGACCACATGGAACCCAGCCACTCCGCACAACTGCTTCTTTTCATTGAGGCGTATGAAGAAACCGCGGTCAAACTCCAGCTGAATCCATCCCGACTACTCGTGACCGTGTCATACCACGACATCGGCGCACTACACAAACCGTAAACGGCCCAAATCAACTTGAGCACGGTCGAGTCCTGGGCGCCGTCAGTGCCGTATGCTGCAGCAACCTCGGCTGGGTGCTGGCATATACGAAGAGACCCTCCCTCTCCATGTGTTGCAAGCTTTGAACAAAAGCGCTGGAGACGCCAGCACTGTCAAGCAGCCAGGCATTGTTCGCCACAGTGCTGAGAATGAGCATCTTCCCAAGCTTGCTCAAAGTGGAGAGCTCGCCTGAGACTCGACTAAGTTCGGAGACTGTTATCCTAGCACCAACAAGCGAGCCCTAGACCGCCCGTCTGACTTAAACGTCAACAACACCCAACGCATCTTCATGACACGCCGAATGTCCAGCTTCTATCATTCCGGAGCCCTGCCAGGTGACAGTGGTTCGTTCGCGTCAGTGTCCCGTTCCTGAATGCTGTCTTCCAGGTGGTCAGCGTCTTCCACATGTTGATGCTGGTGGTAACAAGTTCGTGTGTGACAAGAGCACATCCACGGCGATACCTGTCGAAGAGTCAGGGGATGCAACGTCTGTTCTGTCTGGCAGCAGCGGATCCGAGCTGATTCCTGACGACGAGGAGATGCCCAACCAATGTCACAAGCGCAAACAGCCTGATGCTGTTGAGCACATGGGCTACATGTTTGAGGTCCCGATCGAAGACTGTGACGTCGCGAAGCTTGTGGAAAAGTCTCGACATGCCGAAATTTGGCTGCCAAAGAAGATGATGGACAAGGACCGTGAGGTGAGTTGGTCATCGTCGTCGTTGGGCCACATGAAGGAGTTTGATGGCACTATGGCAGAAGAGATTTCGAAAGTCCTTCGGAACTGTGCCGTCCGAGCTCTTTGTGCCTGGAACAGGTGCGTCAAAATTAAAAGGACCCCCAGGAGATTCCCGCTGAGATCGAGGTACATCAGGATGATCTTTTCTATCATCGCTAGAACCGGCTTGAGGTCCTCCTTGACCATCATTGGCATCTGCTCCCGACGGAGCTTCAGGGACCCCCTTAGCAGATTCCCGTTGAGATCGAGGTACATCAGGAGGATCAGCACGCGATCTCTGTGCTGACGGATGATCGGCCCTTTCAGAAACTTGATCAGCAGGCATGGCTCCTCAAACCCATTGAAAAGGGCTGTAGCCGGTGTTGGCTTGAATGGTACCGTTCTGAGCATGGCAGACGTAGTGGAACATCGTGGCCACTGCGAGGTCAAGGTCCTCCTTCATCATGCGGTCCACCGAGGCCTTCAGCCGCCCAATCAATCCTCATGGCTCATCAGCCAATGACACTCAGGCGGAGCAATCAGAAGGCCCAAGCCTCCCTTGCCACAAAACCCCGTCAAGTCACCAGTGAACATCCGAATGATGTCCTCGGTCGCCGACACAGTGCACAGCCTTGAAGCCCTGTCGACCCATAGCCATCCCTTGAGTTTCGTCACCTCGCTGCCATCATTTTTGAAGGTGTACTCAAACACGTCGGTGCTACAATCTCGCCTTTGGCCAATGTAACGGCCCACGAGGGAGCCCTCGTCTCTGAAGCAGCTTAGCCAAATTGGAGAAGCTGGTGTGTCCGGAGGATCGGTGGGGCCTCATCAGCATGTGCCGAACCTCCTCGTTTTCCCCGTGGGTGGGAGGTCGCCACGGCCCTTCACACCAATCTTGCTCCCAAGTCCTCGGACAAAGGACGTGCAGCATACTTTGATTGGCGGCTCCAGGCCGCAGAAGCAGCCATTCTCTTTTCCAGGGCACGAGGATACCAGCTTGGGTCTGAACATCTCTTCTGGCAACCTCCTTGATCATCAACATGATGCTTGTACCCTGGACATCCACGCTGACGGCCTGCCTTAACACCCTCACACGCGGTCATGATTCGACAGGTCCTGCGAAGAGGAAGGTCTCCACATTTCAAGTTGAACCATGACTCCATATACAACCATCTCACTCTCAATGGAGGTCCTTGAAGTACTCAACCTCGTCCCAGCAATGGCGAAGTTTCGCAGGGAGTTCCAGAACAAAATCTCTCCGGTTTTGAAGATGTCTTGCCAAGCAGCTCGATCTCGCCGTACAGCCCGGTCGTGATTCACCGGTTGCTTCGAGGACACGACCGTTCGGGGAAATGTTCGTTGTAGCATATCCCATGTCATTCATCGCGGCGCAGAGGGTAGGTGGCCCTCCAATCTGTAAAAAGTCCGTAGACGCACCAACTGCTGCTGTGATAGAGGGAGCTTCCTGGAGAATTCCAGAAACCAAAAGCAAACTGCTTGCACTGCTTGCAACCAAAGATCTCCCCATCTTTGAATTTTGAATTTATCGACCGCTGGGAATTGGAAGATCCAGGGTCGCCCGCTTCATACTTCTTGGCACCTTGGGAAGACTTCAAATCCTTTGTGGTGTCGTCCTGCTTCCTCAACGGCGATCTTCACTGCATGGCTCTCGAAATCGCCAACCTGACTGTGAGCCCGTCCTCGTCGTGATCCGTTACCCCACGAAGGTTGATCTCCTCGAGGAGCGCAGCCTCGCAGGAGCGCAGCCTCGCTGCGCGATTGGGGCTCGTTCCGTCTCTTCCGTGCTTCCGCGCTTCGGTGTTGTCTTCTTCAGCGCTTCGGTATCCACGTTGGGTCATTGTCACTGTACTCGTAGCCGGAGGTCGCACGTCGATGCTGAGGGGATCCGGCTCCCTGGCGCGCTTGCTCATCGGCTCCGACAACACCGCAGAGCGACCCTCCTGCCGCACGCGGCCGGTGAGCTCCATGCACCGATCCACGACCAGCTTCTAGGTGATCTGGTTGGCCGGCATCTCCATCCGGATTTGAGCACTGGCTGTCGCGATCAGCGTGGGAGAGGGTCCTGCCGATCGCCTGTTGCCCTTGGCCTTTCCACGAGTCCAGTACTTCATCCTGGGGCCACATCTCGCACACGTCTCTTTCATTGGGCAGTCTGAGCGAAGTGGCCCGTCCTTGTGCTCGCCCATACATGGCCACCCGGAGCATCGAGGGTCGTCTACTGGAGAGGGGAGGAGCTAGAACGGGCCGCTCATCTTTTCGTTCGCGAAACTGATCAGGCTTGACTGAGAGAACGGATTTGAGAATGAACATCAAGTTCCTCATGATCACAGCTCCCAAGACGAAGGACTGGAAAGGCACAGACAAGTGAAAGTCATCTCGAATCTCAGCAGCACTGCACTGCAATGTCAGCCCTGGTTCACACAAAGTTCACGAACACAGTGAACACAGTCTTCAAACGTCGGGTGCATAAGCGGCATCATCTTCATCTGTTCCGGGCGTGGTTTGCCCCGAACCTCAACGGCGCTCATCGGAAAAACCAGGAGTCATCAGGGTCTTCCGAATGGAGCGGTCGCCATCCGGAAGGGTCACTCCAAGCCCAAGCTCGTTCTTGAGATTGTCCTGCACAGGACCCTGGGGTGTGCTCTTGTCGCCAGATCCACCACCATGTGGCCACCCATCGTGGACACCCACGGAAGAAAATCCAGCTGGCCTCCGCTTCGAAGAAACATCACAGTCTCATCTCCATGGTTCGCGGTGGCCTTTAGCTGGCGAAGCTTCCTCCACCAATGGAGTGTGGGAATTCGGATCGTCCAGGACGTACACAGAGACCATCCCGGGCACAGGGGTGTAGGCATCGATGCGGGGCAAGGCCTGAAGAGTCCTCCCATCACCAAACCGAAAGGTGGGCCGGTCCTGCGCACACGTCGTACCTCCAGCAAGAGGCCTCGAGGAACCGCTCCATGGTCCCGATCCCGCAAGCGGACTCCGGCTCCTGCGTCAACTATAACCTGGCTGGCCTTCAGTCGCCCGCCTGGCTTTTCATGATCAGTTAACAGAAAGCATGAAGGAGTCGGCAAAGGCGATGGAAGGCAGGAGCTCGTAGTTGTCGCTCTCCGGGACCACGGAGACCAGGAAGGAGTAGGCATAGCCGACGTCGTAGGAGCACTCATCGCCCCTGCCTTTGTAGCCTCCTTTCTTACCCTTGCCCTTGCCCTTCGACGGAGCACCTTTGTTCCCACGGCCAGTTCCTCGTTCCCTGCACTCCCAGCAGCGGTGCCCAAACCTGCCATACGCGGCGCAGGGACCACCTTTCCCAGGCCGACACCCAAAGGGTCGTGACGAAGTCGAAGGGAATGATCCGGAGCCTTTGCTGCCAAGAGGAGAGTATCCTCGAGCTTGCCGTGCCTTAGCGACGGCATCTCTGTGTTTGATGCCTCTTCAGCGATTGCAAAGGCTTCCGCCTCGTCCTCAAGAAGGGCTTTCTCCTGCTCGGTGGGCAAAGAAACAGCACCAGGATCGTCAGGAGGATCGCGCTCGGTCGGGGCATATGCCCAGTCTTCGTAGTGCTGGTTTTTCCTCCCAGCCGGATGGATCTTCAGTCAGTAGGCATCCTCGGTTTCTGGGTATCCTTCCCAGGCCCAATCGTCCCAAGTCTCGGCATTGAAGTAGTTAAGTAGTTCTCCTCCTCCAGCCACCATGCCGCTCGAGGCTTGCGACTGGGGAAGTCAGAAGTCATCCCTGCATCAAACATTGCCCGCAAGGCCTGCCGAATGGACTGGAAGGTCGTGCTGTTGCTCGCCAAAGTCAGGACGTGCTGTCTCTCTGAGGCCTGCAAAAGCACGCTTTAAGAAGCCGGTAACCTCTTACCTCATCCTCGCAGAACCCAACAGAGCTCCAAGCCGCCGTCTTGGTAGCCTTAGTCCTGGTAGATGACGTAGGGAGGTGTCAGAGGAGGCCTTTGATGTCGAGGGCTTCCTTTCGGCATGCTTGGCTCCTCCAACTTTTCTTCACGCGCAAATAGCTGAGGAATCGTCTCTCCTAGGTTGAAGGGGGCTGCGCGTGAGCACTTCCACCGGTTTCTCCAATCCGCTATTTGTGCTGTAAGTAGCCGGGTCCAGGTTCCTCACGACACTCTTCGCTGACCCAACCAAGCGGTGCCAAACACGTGGAGCAGCCAAGCTCTGCTCAGAGGGCTGGCTTGACAGAGTGCTGATACCATCGGCACTCGGTGGCAAACCTTTCGAAGGTGCTGGGGTTCCCGTCCCAGGATGGGACATCACTGTCCTTTCCATGAAAGGCCATCGGGCGTCTTCTTCCGGTCAGGTAGCCGTGGATCACTCAGTAGATCTCGTGACCCTGGCCGCCCGATCTCCTTCAGGAAGAACCTAAGCGTGTAAAAGGCGAAGTCCGATAACCAAGCAGGATCTCAAGGACTTCGAAGAATCTCGGGCGCGCGAAGCGCAGCGCAGCAAAGGTCTGGAGCTCCTTGGATCACCAGGGGAGCTCCGCTGCCATGAAAGTGCCTCACGAACGCCACTGAAAAGCCTAGGGCAAGCAGCGCCCTTTTCCTATCTCCGCAGCCGCACTTGCTCTGTGAGCTCGAGCCCCGCCCTGCTGCCACAGACACGTTTAAAGCTCAACACTCGGATTCACGGGTACTTGCGCCATGCAACCTGATCGAGTTGCCTGACTTCCATGAGCTTAAATTTAGCATCCTCCTGTGTCCCCGGCCGCCTGCTTCGAGCCGAGGTCCCAATACACGGCATCAGCACCGCCTGCTTTCTTGAAGCACTTGGTCGATGCCTGCAGATGTTGCGCAACACACAATCAAACCAACACGCAGCATGCATTCCAGCTAGAAGTGCCTGCTAGTGCACGGGCCACCCGACACAGCTGGGAGCCAACCACGGTTCAAACTTAGGACAAACAGAATTGCATTTTCGCCTCGGCCCACCCGCCCGCCACGCCCCCCTGCCCCACTTCCCTCCCTTCCCCCCCCCCACCCCTTTCCTGCCGGTTTCCAACCCCCAGCCGGGCCGAGGCGGACGGCGCGAAGCGTTTAACATTGACAGGCAGGTCACGAGACTCTCTTATCCAGACCTCTGAGATCAGGCCATACGTCCCGGAACAAAACCGTGGGAAAACTCCCAGAATGCCGCATCTCAACAGTAGCTCACTGTATCTCAAGCAGTTTTACAGATACACTTTGATCAAGCAACCCCTGCCAGCAGGTCTCTGAGCCCTGCACCGTAGTCATCTCGGGGAGAGATGCCTTATGCCGCTCCATTCCACACTGACATCCACATCTTGAAGCAAGTCATGCGGCTATGGAAGTGGCTTGCTTCGCCGTTGCCACACAAGGCACGCAATGGGTGTCAGGGCCCCAAAGCACTTGTTAACGACTTCGCCTCGCTTTCGGACTTGCTCTGGTAACCTCTGGTATGCCTGCACTTCTCCCACGTAACCTGTTACACACAATGCGTCCGTCGTCCAGTAAGAGTGCCAATGCGCGGGCTACTTTCCCTGTGCCGCGGACACAAGGAGAACCGGCCCTCCGCCACAGGACTGGCTGACCGGATCACAGGACGCAAGAGCATGCGTCGCATCACGCAGCAAGTCTAGACCTTTCCTCAAGTGTGTGGTTCTTCTTGCCAGCACGGCGAGTGGCATGCACTGCTCAGTGCGCATGCAACAAATGCTGTTGAAATACAGCCTGAAGCCGTGCTCACATGGGTTTAACAACTGAATTGTGTCTAGACAAGCACTTCCAGCATGCAACGGAACCTCAAGATCACAATAGCTCACTGTTTGCATGTCTGCATCCGTCATTCGGTCTGGGCACCGTGGTAGCACTGAGAATTTGCACGGACGAGATGTTGATCTCGCCATTGCAAGCTTCCTGGCATCCGGGACAGCCAGCCACAGCTCGCAGTGCAAAGGTCATCACGACATCACAGACAGGCAATTACTGTTTACGAAACACTGATCTGGGAATTCCACTTCCGGCTGCATTGAAGCACATGCTGCTGGAATCCTAGTCTGACCAGTACCTGATCGTCTGCTTCAAGCACAGATTCCAACCGATCCCCACTGCACCTCGCAGTGCAGCTGTGGGCACGTTGCAAGCCCAGCCGGGAGGTCGCCTGTCGGCGGCTTTGGATCACTCTGATACCAAGCCGGCATGACATCAAAGGCAGCACACGTTGAAATCACAGAGGCATGGCTCAGCCAATGGAGTTCTTAGCCTTTGGTAAGTTTAGTAGTTGAAACATGAACGTGCATTGGCCAAGGCATCTCTCCAAGAGGCTTGCCTAACCTTCGAGAGCACCCCTGCTCAAATCGGATGTCCACATCCCAACCCAGTTGAATTCTGCAAGAGCTCGACACAGACTCACGAACTACAGCTTAAGGAGGACATGGTGAGGCAGTAGTACTGCGCAAACAACACCGTGGAAATTCTGCGACATGACATGACGTGACCTGGGCAAGGAGGACACCAGCCAACATGATACTGTACAAAACACCGGCGACGCTCACGCTTCGTCCGAGGCACCATAGTGGACCGCATCAAACTCTGCAGTTCCAGGAGTTTCACCTGCACTGCACTGGCGAGTCATGTTACTGCCCAGCACACCATCACCAGCATTCGCAGAGCAAGAACAGCATCAGGTTTGATCTGATTCTGGCATAGCGTCCACGGTGTCGAAAACCGAAATCACTTCTGACAGCTTCGGTCTGCCAACGAAGGTCTTCGATAACCGTTTCCAATCTTGTAACTACACGCACCACGAGTGTCAGAGAAGCACAAACAGGTCGCAGCTTTCCTGTCAAACCGATCCACACGCACACAAGCCACCAGCTGCAAGTCCAAATTCGTCAGCGAATTTAAAGAACATCTCTCAGGTCGTAAACGATCTGCCCTCCCACAACGGTTTTGCACCATGCAGCACTGTGCCGATGCACCCTAGTCACTTGGACTGCACCCTATCGACAAATCTTGTTGTTCTCTCTCTTCGACACCAGGACGCCATAGCCCGAACAAAAGACTTCAGGAGTCAACGACTGCTGTAGGTCTCAAACGTCGCAAGTGGTGCAACAGTCTCTTGGCTCTGATCAGAGTCACGATTGTGCCACTGTCGCTCAGTCAAGTCTCCGTTCCCCGTGTTCAGTTCAGCGATCAGTAAACATCCACACTTCGGCTTGCGTGTGATTTCATGGGAATTTCGCAGCTTTCACTGGGAAGCCTCCTGCACGAACATGCCTAGTGTAGCAGCTGCAAAATGTTTTCTTCGTGGTGAGATCCCGCTTTGCTGTCAAAGTTCGCAGTGCTTCTTCAGACCTTTAGCAGTTTGCAGAGTCGGCAACACTAGTTTCGGACTGCAGCAGCATGCTCACACATGTTTTGCCTGCAATCCAACTTCCCGGTGGCCGGCAGTGAGGCATGAACTCTAACAAACAAACTTGAACAACCCTTGAAAGAAGCATTGTGCGCGCGACTTCGATTGGTGCTTCGTCAGACAAGCTTCAATTGCAGCCCGGCTGCTCGAGTTGCAGCTGAAGGCGTCCAACTTGGTCTCAGGCGTCCCTGGCATAAGTCCCAACCGCAGCACATCACCAGCGTTCCATGAGGTGGCACAGGACATGGCAATGCCTAGCACAGCACAGAACGGCTCCCTGGCGGGGGCCTAGATCAATGCTCATAGCCAGCACATCTGCATCCTGTTTGAAGTCCTTCTCCATACCTCAAACCCACCGCACGAGGCCACCACAACTCCGACAGCACTGAAACACGAGCCGAGCGCCCCAAATTGCGACAGCATGAGGCGACTTCGCAAACTGAGACGTCGCAGCTGGACATCTACATCTTCAAAATAGTGGTGGTTCCACCACATGCAGAGAGAGAACAACTGGAGGAGGGCACACTGCGTCAGCAACGCGGCTTGGTTCGGCCCGAAGGAGCTCCTTGGACGACACCAATCACAACCCCGGAGATTGGAAGTCTTCAGACCGTCCAAGGCAAGAAGAAAATGTCTGGACAACTGCGGTGAGTTCGGATGAGTGAACCCAAGCCAGCCAATGAAATTAAGAGTCTTGAAGCCATGACACCCTTCCACAGCCAAGGCTCACGTAGCACAGCATTCTCAGGATGGATCGCATCTGTGCCTTTTCGACAGGGCAGGGCAGACTTGCACAATACCGCTTTCAGCAAGAGATGTGAAGCTGACACTTCCTTCCCAACAAGTAGCAACTGCATGGTGTGGATCGAGAGGGTTGTGATGCAGGGTCTCTGACGCAGCTCCGATAGCAATGCAACGAGCCTTGCGAGAGTCGGCCTCTGCCATCTGCTCCTCCTAATGACAACGGAGGCACAGACCCTCTCGAAACAAATCGGAGCTCTTAAGTGTCGGTTCAACAGCAAACTACCCGGCCTTGGTGGTTTCCCACTGTGGCAGGGCCGCGTCATAGCCTCGGCCATGGAATGCATCCTCTCCGAAGAAAGCAGTGGCTGGCGATGCAGGCCCTCCGCAGGGTCCACGGCATTGGTCGTAGGTCTGCCAGGCCACTCGCTGCGACTTGAGCTCCTTCGGAGAGAAGCTACGGAGTAGCCCCCGAAAGGTTGCTTTGCATACGAGGAGAGGCCTGGCACTTGGCACGGAGCGCAGCAGCCTTCACTCGAAAACACATGCAGCTTTCATGCTTTTGGGTGGCTCCATGCGTCCTGGAATGTCGGTGGACTTGTGCGGCACCTGAGAGATGGTCAACACAGTAAAGTTGGGGTCAGTCCGTTGGATTGTTGGAATGATGCAGCAGCCAAGAACATGTCACGGCACCAGATCTTGAATTTCCATGACGTGGCCGTCGCAGTTCTTGAAGCAGCGCTCTGCAGTTCCCCAGATATCGTTGCATCCATGGGTCTCGTTGTAGCGCTCCTCGGCCAAGCAGAAGAAGCGAGGATGAACAAGAACCCTCGTTTCTAGTCTAAGAGCAGCACCCACACCAAGAAGTCGAGGTGTGCCTTGATGTCCTGCACCATCCAGAAGGGCCCGCTGATGTGCCGCAGAATCTGTTGGCAAAGATGGACTGCGGTTCGTGCTGCTATCTGAAAGCCAGAGACTGCTCTAGGTTGTCCCTCAGACCCACCAATCGTCAGACGCCAGAACATGACGTCCTTGATCATTCGTTCAAGGAAAGACTTGTAGCCTTCGCCGGTGACCGGCGCACCTGACATGTTTGTCTTGTCCCGCACGGTGCTTCATGCTTCTTAGACTTGGAATGCAAATCGGTTGATGATTGCAGCTACGCCGCTTTACTCCTGTGCCGGGAGTGCTGCTAGAAGGGTTCAATGGTTGGAGGTTGCTCTTGCTACAGGATTGACGGTTCAACGATTGAGAGACGTGAGGGAGGCTCAACGAAGAGGTAGTATCAACCGGCTGACACAACGGAGCTCGGACTTCTGGAACCATGAGACATGTGAAAACCCTCACAGTGTTGACAAAAGCTTCGCGCGCATCACACATGCTACGCCAGACTTGATATGAACCAGGCGCTGTACCTAACCCTCTTCTTACTCGCTCTGCGCAGATGCTGAGGAGATGGCAGTCGAGAGGACCACACTGATCACCAAGAAAGGTGCAATCCTCCCCGACGACCTTCACCTTCAAGCCAGTAAAATGCTGCTGCTGCACAAGCACCTACGAGCAAGTGTAGGCGACTTGTTTTTGGGCCGGCGAGTCGAACAAAAACAGTTACCTTTCTCACCGCTTGTCATCAGACATGGTGCAGCGGTCTTTGACACAGTTTGCGCTTTTGGTTAGCATCAAAGACGTGGCAACGTCAGGGATGGTGGCACCTCAGTTTAGATGACCGTACGACGTGTACACGACACGGACTTCAGACCTGATTTGGCTGTCCGGCATCAACTCGCAGGGTATAGAAAACAAAAGAGACGAGAGACTCTGCAGTGTCTGGCACCTGAGAGAGCTTCGCTGCAACCCTTCTTCGCATGTACCCCTGGTGCCAGCAGCCGGCAGTTCGAATGATCCGCCGAATGAGAAGTGCGGACGGTTTGCATGTTCAAGTTATCCCTTCAAACTGAATGAACAAGCGACGTCTTTGCAACCGCAAACCCCAAACAGTAATCTCTGATGCCGGTGCCACACCCTTGAAGCAAGGTCCGCTTCATGCACACTTTTTTGCCGAGAAAGAAGACATCCTGCCTCCGAGGTGTAGTGGTAGTCACATGCAGTCCTTACTCCGACTCGTGACAGTGGTCCCAGGATCAAAAGCAAAGGAATTCAAACCGTGGCTACGCGGCTGCTTGTTTCATGTTCGTGTTCAAACCGTCCACTCCTAATTCAGCTCAGAAGAGCCTGATTAAATTGTCTCCCAGCCGAGCGTCATGTCCTTTCCAATCTGTGCCTCCCATTGCTTGCACTGGGAGTAGGCCTGGAAGAACTCCTCCGACAACGTGTTTCACGCTTTGGCATGGGTCCCGCATGCGGCAGTTTCCGTCTCTTCTGCTCAAAAACCTTGAGCTCGAAAACGCTCGGCACAAACAAAAACCGCTGTGTCCAATGAGGACTAACTGCTTGCGGCCTCGTACCACGGTGTCGCGTTGACTGTCTGCAGGAGAGATGCTGGAGGAAAGCGAACATGATCAGCAGCCTGACCGTCGAGTTTAGGTTATTCTGACATCTCCTCTTGGCACTTCCTACGTTGAGAGCTATCACCTATACGTCCGATCTGAAGAAGGGATCAGAAGCATTTACATCATTTGTCCTGTGTGGCAGTAAAATTATTCCAGCACCTGATACGTCTCGCGGCAGTCGGCAAAGAGCTTCTTGGAGTCCGCAATCGCTGCCAGGCCTTGCAAAGAAGCGCGAGCAGTCGGAGGGATTTTTGGGTCGCCGAGCAGTCGAAGCGGAGTTCACATGTACTCGGCCGCGGGCTGTTCTTGTGCGCCGTGAAAAGCCGTCCTGAAAGCTTTGGCATAATAGGTTCTAAAGGCGGTAAATGAATTACTGATTAACTGCTCTGTTGCTCTGCCCTCGTTCCTTTCATGGTGGTGTTCAACAAGTCTTTGATGGTGTCCACGATGGCCGAGGTGTTCGACACCTCCACGGAGGACATGGGAGGACTGAACGCACCGGCGCGTCACAAGTGCCAGAGAGCAGAGCGTGGCTACGTGGCGTGGCCTGCGCGATGCTGGAGAGAGAGCTGGCGGAGCTCTTGTCGCCTCAGACTGGAAAAATCCGCCGTGTCATTGGTGCAGAGTACACCACCATCTGAGAGTTCTGGCTGCTCTTCAGCAGATCCGTCAATGCTCCGGCCACAGTGTTGAGGTGGGCATCGGACCTCCGCCACTTGTCTGTTTGAGATGTCTCCGTCGTCAATGTCGGTGTCGTGAGACCACCTCATCTCCATACTTTCTGAGGTTTCAGCGCCTGTGCCTGAGCCCCCTCCGCAGCAAGCTGTGTGACGACTGGCGCCTGGTCCAAAACAGACTCTGCAGCTGCCGGTCTGGACAGGGATAGTCTAGAACATCTGAACATTTTCTGTTTTCTGATCCATGGTCCCTGAGGCGTCGAGTCTGTGGATCTCCGCACGGATTCGCGTGAGTTCACATCGTGACGCGTCAAAGCTACTCAAAGACAAATGTCGAACTCTCCCGGCCTGTCCGGCTTCTACTGAAGCAAAAAGAAAAGCCTGCAGCCAATTGCTCTGCTAGTCACTTGTACGCTTATTGACACAAAGCGGATACACCCCTCCATTTATGGCACCAGGACCCGCACCGCCAGCGGAGCAAGGATCATTGTGCTAATAACCTCGAACATGAAAGGGTAGCCACTACCCAGACGTTTTCTTCAATCGCAGCGCCGGAAGCAGTGAGCTGAGCTGCCTGCCTGCATTGTACCGGTGAGGTCTAGAACCCAGTCCCCCCAGTCAAGATGACTTGAGAGAGCTACACACGAATTACAGAATGATCGGCGCTTGGCTTTCATCAATGCTGCTGTGACACATCTCTGTGCAAAACAAATCTTCGGCATTTTTCTCTCACAATCGCAGCAGCCTCAGAGCTCAGAGACCACGCTCCAAGAAATTTAGCCTCGGTTTGTGCCGGTGCAAGTCTGGAGTTGTCCAGTCTGCTGCTGAGAGGGCAAGGGTTGATGGCCTGGGAAATAAAGACCAAGATACAGGAGCTGTGGATGATGCTGCACGTCCTGAAGCCACAAGTTGGCAACTGCCTGGCAAAAGCGGGTAGTAGCGATTTGCAGGCCACATGCAGTCGAGATCTTTCAGAGGTCGAATATGCCGGTGGAGGCAAGCAATTAGTTGGTAAAGTTGTGGTCACTTGCCGGTGGAGGTAAGCAATTAGTTGGTAAAGTTGTGGTCACTTACCCATGGGATATTCCACACCGCACGTCGTGACTATGATCGCCCACGGGCAACCTGCACCCTTCACGTTCCTTCAGCCGAGGAAACCTTCGGCTCTTGACGACTGCATCCCGAGCCGTCGCCTCTCCCGCGACTTGCGACATCAACGACAACACCTTTGGGGTCGCTGGAGATCAAGCTCCACTACAAACTGCATAAAGAAGGAGGTACGGTGCTTCGAAGTGTGGCACCTCACTTTGCTCCCCGGCAGCTGCGGCCATCAAGGGCGACATTCCTGCAGGCACGCGGGCTATTTTCATGTTCACATCCGTCGAGGCTGGAGGCCTGGGCGTCCTTATCTGGTTTCGCTCCCCTCCCCCACGGCTGCGGAAACCGCACCTCTGACGGCTTCCAAGCTCTGCCCCGCCCCCGAGACCGTCCCCGAGGCGGCTCTCGGGAGTTAAATTAAAAGGGGAGTTGATTGCATGCTCAGTAAGGCCACACTTCGCCAAAAGTTCGGCTGCATGCTGTGACCACAAGCAAGGACGCTACTGGAAAAAGCATTGCAACCAGCTCGACAGAATGCGGCTGATGCAGGATGCTGCGGGACGCCTTCCGCATTGCGATGCTCGAGGGAGGCACCCGCTGCCAGCAGCCAGCGCACCACCTCGCAAGGCATGTCGATAAAGCCCGAAAGCACGAGTCGATGCGGCGATGCCGGACTGAGCAGAGCTACAAGCAGCAAGCATGGGGCGTCGTAGCCAGACGTTGCAAACATATTCACAGATGAGTCGCTTTCCATGGCGTGACTCGTCGCCTGTAGATCCAGTGTTCAACTGGACGACTTGAGATGTGCTGCCGACGGTGGTTTCGATCATGGTTGGACGATCGAAACTCGTGCGCTCCTGCTGCCACCGAACGAGCCAAACGTCAGGAAGGCCCCCGCCAGCGACCACTGTACTGCAGGTGTCTGCAGAGTTTCACGTGGGAAAGCGTTTGAGGCAGCATTGACACTGGGAACGCCGACACTCCGCGGTGCGGCCAGGGGTTTTGAAGGCGTGCACGGACCAGGCCAAACAACATGTTGCAGGGGGCACAAAAGCGCACGGAAGGTGCCGGCTCAACCATCTGGTCAGGCAGTGTGGCCCCTGCCCGCCTGCGGGCAGGTGGGCCCTGCTTGGCAGCCTTCGGAGACGACGCAGACCAAGAGCCACGCCAAAGCTGGTAAGAACCAGGGTTGGAAGAGGTGCTTGCCTGCTCTTTCCATCTGCAAAGGGCTGCAGCTCACGATAACACGGAGTGCGCGCAGCAGAGCGTTTCGCTCGGAGGCATCGGTGCCAGCAAGGAGATGGCCGCGCCGTGTTCGACGTGCCACTTTTGGCACTGGGGCTACAGTAGATCTAGCAGCTGGTGCCAGCAATCTGAGCCCTGTGTATGTGTTTATGGAAATATGTGTGCGTTCTGCAGGGTTTTGAGTGCTCACTCTCGGTGTTTCGTATTTGTTTCCGTTGCAAAAATTTGCGTCAGTTGGGCTTTGGGGCTTCAACATGCGTTTAGGGCTTTGGGTTGCGAGTTGAGGCTTGCGGGCATATGATATTTATGCCATACGTAGGTACAAGTAGGCAAGGACAAAGAGAAGTTGAAAAGGCTATCCCGGGCCTGTGCCTCCGAGACCCAGGCTAAGGCGGTAGGTTGGCTCGGAAATGTGCCGTGAAGCATGCCGGTGCGAATTCCCAAACAGTGAAGGTACGAGCACCACGGCGACCATTACGACCACTTACGACCACCAGGACCTAGCCGAAGACCACTGCGACCAGGAGGACCTGGACAACCAGGAGACCACCAGAAGAACACCAGGACACTGCCAAAATGCAGCGAATTGAGGAGGATTCAGGAGCACGGCAAAAATGGGTTTGCCCCAAGTACTTCGCGGAATTCAAAGTTTTTGCGGCCAACAAGTCGCACATGCACTGGATTTTACAATGAATCTGGATTTCCGCGAGGTGGTCTCCCACGGATCCTGTGCACAAAGTAGGACGTGAGCGGCGAACTTCATGCACTGCGCCACTGTGCTCTGTTTTCGAATCATCAGATTCCAGAAGAATTGCGAGCCCTTCCGTGCCATACCGCACAAAGCTCTGACCCTCTCGGGCCTCGACATTGCCTTCATGCGCTGCAATCATGAGCGGTGTGTCTCCATCGCTGTCCACGACCTTGAGCCAAAGCGTGGACATGCAACAGCAGGAACTCGCTCGAACAGCTGCGAACATCCAGCGGTACATGTACATCCACCCAAACGAGGTGACATGCTGCTGAGGATGAAAGGAACTCGTCTTGTCTCAGATCCCAGAGGTTCAGGACGAAAGCTACCTGGTCCCTCAGCCCCCGGCGTCCACGGGGATTTTCAACCTTGCATCAGGACTGGCGAGCGAGACCCGTCTTGCGCACAAGATATATAACGGCAACCTGCAGCGTCTCCGTTCATGCCAAGAGGCGACTTGACGCAAAAGTCAACCATGCTGTTGGATCCACCAGCAGCTGCATAGTGCAGCCTGCTAGATTCTTGGTGTCGGTAGGTTTGAACTGTTCTGATGATGCAAAACTGATGCAACTTGAAGATGACTTGCGGCCCACAGGAACACGTCTAAATGTCAACTGAGATGCTGCTGCTGCCAAGGCTGCAGGCATGACCGGTACAGGGCGCACAATAAGCCAAGCAACGCACAACATCCACGTGCGTCACGACTCTCCGGCGACGCCCCACGTGCCAACAGCACCTCCGCTGCAGGCACCGCCCCTGCCTCACGCATGCAGAGATACCATCTCACTCTGCAAAGGAATTTCCGAATCCCCGAGCAATAGCCTCCGCAGCAACTAGCAGCGCATTGGCGCCTCGATCGTCTTGCTCCTGCTCGGGGCCAATTCTCTCAAAACCTCAGGGTGATGAAGTGCCTCTGGAGTGCTCCTCCAAAGACGGCACGACCAGGGCTCCTCCACACATTGAGCAAGCAGGTATCCCGAATTACCAGAGGTTGCTTCTTCATAGATTGATGGCTTCATGCTGAGGGCAAAACTGCAGGAGCAGCAGCAGCAGCAGCAGCAGCAGCCAGAGCTGCACTGTTTCATGCTGAGGTGTTGAACTAGGCGGTTGGTACTCGCCATGGCAAGGTGTCGAAAACCACTCACCTGGAGGTCCGTCGAGCAAAAAATGGAGCATCTCCACAGCTCCTGCCTGACGAGAAATCCGCGTGCGTCATGGGCCATGTGGCACACTGCAAAGGATCACAAAACGCAGCCCCTGCGGATAAACTTAACTGCCGAGTGTGTCACAGAGCGAGCGTCCCCAACGGCCTCGTTGCTGGCAGCACAAAGTAGTGCAGTGCCTGGACTGCATTTGCAACGCTTGCAGGGCTGTCAGCTCGTTCGGAGTCTATTTTCGCAACGCGTGTCAGAGGTTCAAGCACAGACATGCTGGCAATTAGCAAAAGCAAGGAGCTGACTTCCATCATGTGCGCTTTCAGTCAAGTCGGCCAGGCCTCTGGCAGCAGGCAACAGACAATTCTGAAGGACCCTCCCCGCTCCAACCTTGATGAATCAGCCATGCGAGGAGCTCGGGATCTCTTCGCCCGGTCAGAAGGCTTCCAGCGCACTCCGACTTCACACTTTCGTCGACTTTCGTCCTGAGGAAGCAGCCAGGAGCGCCAAGCCACAGCCATCCGAGTCGGATGCCTGACTCAGCTCAGAGACAGTGCGCGACTGCTTGAGCTGCACAAATTATGCAGATACCCTCCCTCTGCTTTAAACCTTAGGAATGTTTCGAGTGCGCTTCGCTTCTTCTTGCACTGTTGCAAGTCTGGGGTAGCGAGTCATCCCGGAGAACTAGACCTATCTTGCTGTCACATCGGAGCTGCCACGCAAACCTCTCCATCTGCGCCAGCTTCCAAAAGCAGGCGGACCAGGTCCAGCGACCCTCACATGCGCACACACCAGGTATCTGCCCTGCTGAATTGACCATGTGGCACCAAGCTTCGTGCCTCGACAAGGGAATCTTGAGGTGCTCCAACACCACTTGCTCGTGGCACAAGGTCAAACTAGACGACAGATCACTGTTGCTTGAAGAGTTGGGAACGGCGATCAAACTTATCTTCGTAGCAACCACAAGAGCCTCACCTGCAGCACCGGCTGCAAGCAAAGGTGTCCGCTTGTCTTGGTCACGAAGCTCGAGGGCGTCCGGCAGCACATCGGCCGGCGCCGAGCGGAGAAGCCTGCAAGCCAGCGCAGGTGAGCTCTTGGACACAACACACCGGCGTTCTGCCCAGAAACAGTGCTGCAGCCGCAGTGTCTCCACAACTGCAAAGACGAAGCAGTTGTGCCTTTGAAGCGATGCAAGTTCGTTCATATGCAGGCCGACGCAGAGAAGTTGAAGGCCACAGAATCA